GCCCGCCGCCCGCCGCCCGCGGCGCCCTCGCCCCCGCGCCCGCTGAGCGCGCCCGCCCGCGGCCCAGGTTGGGCCCGGCCGGCGCGGCCCTCGACAGCTGCAAGTTTGGGAGTTGCACGAGTTTGCGGGGCGGGGGACAGGCCGGGAGGGCTGCCATGGAGGAGGAGCGGGGGTCGGCGCTGGCGGCCGAGTCGGCGCTGGAGAAGAACGTGGCGGAGCTGACCGTCATGGACGTGTACGACATCGCGTCGCTCGTGGGCCACGAGTTCGAGCGGGTCATCGACCAGCACGGCTGCGAGGCCATCGCGCGCCTCATGCCCAAGGTCGTGCGCGTCCTGGAGATCCTGGAGGTGCTGGTTAGCCGCCACCACGTCGCGCCCGAGCTGGACGAGCTGCGCCTGGAGCTGGACCGCCTGCGCCTGGAGAGGATGGACCGCATCGAGAAGGAGCGCAAGCACCAGAAGGTGGGCGGTGGCCTCGGTCTTCCCGTCCGGGCAGTGGGCCCGCGGGGACCCAAGGGCCCTTCCACCATGGGCAGCTATGGGTGCGCACGCGTGTGTGTTCAGGGACCGGACCAGAAGAGACCCGACGTGGGGAGGGAGGGAGGCCCTGTGGCTGGCAGATACCACCCGAGAGATTAAGAGCTGTTCCCTGGAGTTCATTCCCACCTTTACCGTTTAATAGCTGTGTGACTTTGGGTAAGTTACTTAACCTCTCTGTGCCTTATGTCCTCACCTGTCAAATGGTGATCAAAATAGGACCCACCTTAGAAGAATTAAATGGGACCATATGAGCTAAGTGCTTAGATAGTATTTTTTTCCAGACATGAAATAAGCCCCTTGCCCTCCTGTGTTACCAAAGAAAATGTGACATCAGGCCCCCTTCTTCATCCCCACCCCTAGTCACCCCAGTGCAAAGGGAATGTGACCTCCACCCAGTGAGCTTCCTGACCTCCAGTCTCCGGGTTCATATTTGCAACTTTCTTCCCGAGACTCCCCTAGCTTATGAACCTGTGGCAGGGAGTGTTCTCTCCTCTTTGATTTTATCCTGAATCCTCACAGGACTCTGTAGAGATTGTCTTCGTTTTACAGATGAGGAAACCGAGGGTCACAGTGGGAGGAGGGATTTATCCCAGGTTAGTGGTGAGAGAGACCCAGGCCCTGTGTCTCCTCCCCACCCTGTTTGAATTGGGGGAAAGGGATGATTTGGGGCAGCTTTAAGGCTGAGCCTCTGCCCTGGGAACAGGAGCTTCTCTGAATCAGGGTCTCCCCACTGGGCCTGGAGTCCAGACGAGGTTCCTGGAGAAAAGGAAGTGAAAGACATGTGGTTTCCTGCCCTAACCTCAGCCAGGGATGCTCTTGGCAGCCCCTTCAGACTGAGAATGGGAGGAAACACCTTTCCTTGAGGGATCAGTCTGCCTGAGCAGTCTCCAGCTTGCTGTTCAGCCTCAGGAAATACAGCTGGCTTCTCTGAACCTCAGGGGCAGGGCATCCCCTATTGTGTACTTCGATGGATCTCTGTGTTTTGGAGGAAAATAGCCAAAGCTGCGTCTGAACCCTTAACCTGAGGGCAGATCCACTGGTACTGGCACTATTGCCATGTTTGACTGTGTTTGTCCTCATGGGTCCCTGTGCCCTAGGAACAGGAAGGAAACTCCGGCTCCCAAGAGTTGACCAGCATTTCCAAGGTCACTCTGGGAGTCTGAAAATGCTGTGTCCTGTAATTAATTTCAAGACTCCTAGAAGCGGGAATTTTGGGAGCTAGACAGCCTGGTTTCAAATCCTACCACTTACAGGCTGTGTGACCTTGGGCAAATCACCCCGTATCCCTGTGCTTCCGTTTGCTCAGTTCTAAAATAGGATAGTAATAGTACTCCCTAGTAGAATCGTGATGAGGTTTAAAGGAGTTTATTAAAGACGTAGAAAGTGTTCAGGACAGAACCTGCCCGTAGCAAGGGCTTTACAAGTATTAAAATTCTTTATAAGCCTTTAGAAGTGTTAAAACTCTTTATAGAAGAGACATTCATTGAGGTGCTCACAGGCTCATGTTAGGAAACCATCCCCACCCTAAGCACCTCTACTCCTACCCGAGAGGCCTCCATTGCTCCTAGAGGGTCGAGGAGGCAAGAAACCTTGGAAATCCTCTTGTTATTGACAGGGACCAAGGGGCTTTGCCCAGATCACACAGAAGTCCTGGCATCTATACTGTCCCCCCATTAGGGCTCTTTAGTTCTGTTGCTGGGGGGCTGGAGACACCCCTGGAAACCATTGGAGGCCACCAGGCCTGAAGTCACATGGAATTCTCAGCAGCGGCACTTGCCTCTGGAACACTCAGCGGGAAAGTGATCACTGTGCGCCCAGGGCCAGCGCTTATTCACTTACACTGGGGATGACCTCTCCTCAATTGAGGGTGCAGCTCTTTCCCACCCCAGCCCAGACCCCTTTACTTCACATTCCTGGGATGGAGAGAGACTTGTATGATTTTTTTTTTCTTTCCTGCAGTCTCAAAGGCTCTTCAAGGTGATATTTCCACAAAAATCTTCTTGGCATGTCCTGATTTAGTCTGTCTGCCTCCTTTTCTCTTCCCTTCCCCCTTCCCCTTCCCCCTCTTCCTTCTCTCTCTCTCTTTCAGCAATTATGGCTCCAGAAAACCCATGTACTGTCTTCCCCTGCTCCTCCCAATAGACCCACTCACTCACTTCCACTACTCAGACGCAGGCCACAGATGTGCCATGTTCTGTCTTGCTGATCAGTCTGCAACCCTTTTGACAGGCCATAGTGAGCACAGTGCCCTTCTCGGTGCCATGGCTCTGCAGAGAAAAGCAAAATTTCATGTCAGGCAGCAGGCGGGTAACGAGGAAGAAAGGGAAAACACAAATAGGTTCTAGAAAGCAATGGTTGGGCTGACAATGGCATGTAACATACCACACTATGCTATTCACTCCCTTGTTCAGCAGATATATTTACTGAGTGCCTGCTGTGTGCCAGGCACTGTTCTAGACACTGGGGAGATAGTAATGACCATGACAGAGGAGGCCTTGGCCCTGATGAGCCTTTTTAGTGCAGTGCTAGACTAGAGAAATGTGATATAGCTTTGCCATATTAATAAAAAACAATGAGGTTGGCCAGGTTCTGTGTCTCACACCTGTAATCCCAGCACTTCGGGAGGTCAAGGCGGGCGGATCACTTGAAGTCAGGAATTCAAGACCAGCCTGGCCAACATGGCGAAACCCCATTTCTACTAAAAATACAAAAACTAGCTGGGTGTGGTAGCGCGCGCCTATAATCCCAGCTATTCGGAAGGCTGAGGCAGGAGAATCGCTTGAACCTGGGAGACGGAGGTCACGGTGAGTCGAGATTGCACCGCCACATTCCAGCCTGGGTGGCAGAGCGAGACTCTATCTCAAAAACAACAACATAAATGAGATCTTTGCTAAGAGTAGAATAAAAAATAAAAAGCAATAACAAAAAAAGTGAGGTTAATTTTAATATATCTTATAGGACTCAGTATATCCAAAATCTTTTCATTTCAACATGTAATCAGCATAAAAACGTATCATTTGCCATTTTGCACTCTTTTTCCTACTACATCTTTGAAATCTGGCCTGTCTCTAACCCTGCTGCCCACTTCCACTCAGACCAGCCACATGCCAAATGCTCAACAGCCACATGTGGCTAGTGGCTTTTCCGTGGGATGGTGCAATTCTAGCATGAGGAGGAGACAGAGATTTTTTGTCCTTTTTTATCTTTGATTTAGGGTCTTACTGTATCACCCAGCCCAGAGTGCAGTGATGGCATCATGGCTTACTGTAGCCTTGACCAACTGGGCTCAAGAGATCCTCCTGCCTCAGCCTCCTGACTAGCTAACATTACAGGCATCCTGTAATTTTTTCTTTCTTTCAGAGACAAGGTCTCACTATGTTACCCAGGCTAGTCTTGAACTCCTGGGCTCAAGCAGTCCTCCTGTCTTGTCCTCCCAAAGTGCTGGGACTACGGGCATGAGCCTCTGTTGCCCAGCCAAGATAGATTAAAAAAAAAAAAAAAAAAAAAAAAAGTCAGGCTGGGTGCAGTGGTTCATGCCTATAATCCCAGCAGTTTGGGAGGCCAAGGCAGCTGGATCACTTAAGGTTAGGAGTTCGAGACCAGCCTGGCCAGCATGGAGAAACTCTGTCTCTACAAAAATATAAAAATTCGGCAGGGTATGGTGGCTCACACCTGAAATCCCAGCACTTTGGGAGGCTGAGGCGGGTGGATCACAAGGTCATGAGTTCAAGACCAGCCTGACCAACATGGTGAAACCCTGTCTCTACTCAAAATACAAAAATTAGCCAGGTGTGGTAGCACACGCCTATAGTGCCAGCTACTCAAGAGGCTGAGGCAGGAAAATCGCTTAAACCCAGGAGGCGGAGATTGCAGGGAGCCAAGATTGTACCACTGCATTCCAGCCTGGGCGACAGAGTGAAACTTTGTCTCAAAACAAAACAAAACCTAACAAGAGTCAGCTTATGATAAGTGCCATAAAGAAAATAAAACTGGGAGACATGAAAGAGACTGGCTGGGGTGGTGGTCTAACACGCGGGGCAGTCAGGAAGGCTTCTCTGAGGAGGTGACATCTGAGTTGAGACCTGAATGAAGGGTAGGAGCCAGCCACAGATTGATCTAGGGGAGAGGCATTCTAGGCAGAAGACATGGCGGGTGCAAAGATCCTGAGGTTGGAATGCATTTGGCATGTTTGAGGAACAGAGTCAGTGTGGCTGGGGCAGAGCGAGTGAGGAAGAGGACTGGGAGATGAGCCAGGAAGGTGCTGGGCTCGGCGGAGGGATTTGCGGACTTTCAGTGCTGAGGGAAGAAGGTAAAGGAGATGACTGCTCAGGGCTGACCTCTCGGGAGAGGCTTTGAGCTGGTGTAGAGGCAGCATGAGATTCCGAGTGGTCAACTCAGAGGCAAGAATTGGCATCCCCAGCATCAACTTCAGTTCATTCAGAGAAATAAAAGAACTGAGGGTGAAGGTCTGTATTCGTCCCCTGTGGCTGCTGTAACAAATTAACACAAACTTAGTGGCTCAAAACAGCAGAAATGTCGTCTCTTTTTTTTTTTTTTTTTTTTTTTTTGAGACATTGCCCAGGCTGGAGTACTGGGCATGACCATGGTTCACTGCCTCCTGGGCTCAAGCGATCCTCCCACCTCAGCCTCCCAAGTAGCTGAACTGCAGGGGTGTGCTATCACACCTGGCTATTTTTTAATTTTTAGCAGAGATGAGGTCTTGCCGTGTTGCCCAGGCTGGTCACAAACTCCTGGGCTCCAGCGATCCTCCCGCCTCAGCCTCCCAGAGTCCTGGGATTACAGGTGTGACCCACCACGCCTAGCCAGAAGTGTACTGTCTTATTGAACTGGATAATTCCGTATTATGGCTACAGTGTCATACAGTATTATAGAAGCATATGGGTAATATCAATATGGATAATACTGGGGAAATTTCTGGAGGTCAGAAGTCGGAAATGGGTCTCACTGAGTTAAAATCAAGATGTGGGGAAGGCTCCACTCCTTTGGGGGGCTGTGGAGGAGGATCTGTTTCTTTGCCTTCCCCAGCTTGTGGACTCCGCATTCCCTGGCTCGTGGCCCCTTCCTCCGTCTGCAAAGCCAGCAGCGGGGCATCTTCCCATCTCCCTCACATTCCTCTAATGCTGACCTGCCTTCCTACCTCTCATGAAGACCCTGGGATGCCATCAGCCCACCAGATAACCCAGAATCATCACCCCATCTCAAGAGCCTTTTTTTTTTTTGAGACACAGTTTCACTCTTGTCACCCAGGCTGGAGTGCAGTGTAGCACAGTCTCTGCTCACTGCAACCTCTGCCTCCCAGGTTCAAGTGATTCTTGTGCCTCAGCCTCTTTAGTAGCTGAGATTTCAGGTGCGCACCACCACACTCACCTAATTCTTAAATTTTTAGTAGATAGAGTTTCGCTGTGTTGGCCAGGCTGGCCTTGAACTCCTGACCTCAAATGATCCTCCTGCTTTGGCCTCCCAAAGTGCTGGGATTATAGATGTGAGCCACCATGCCCAGCCACAAAAGCCTTTTTTTAAATAAAAAAAAGATGGGATCTCGCTCTGTCACCCAGGTTGGAGTGCTGTGGCACAATCACAGCTCACTGCAGCCTCCACCTCCTGGGCTCAAGCGATCCTCCCACCTCAGGCTCCCAATAGCTGGGACTACAGGCATACGCTACCACACCCAGCTAATTTTTAAATTTTTTGTAGAGACAGGGTTTTGCCATGTTGCCGAAGCTGTTCTTGAACTCCTAGCCTAAAGCAGTGCTCCCACCTCAGCCCCCTAAATTACAGGTATGATAGGTATAACCCACCACACCATGCCTAAGTCCATAACTTAATCATCTCTGCATGGTCCCTTTTGCCATGTAAGGTAACATATTCTCGGGGACTAGGACCTGGATGACTTTGGGAGCTGTTATTCTGCCTGCCCCCGCCAGTTACACTTGACTAATATTCCCTGAGCCCTCTGTGAGCCCAGCCGATGCCCATTGGGAACAGAGAGGAACAGGGCTGGATGTGCCTCATTTGCTTCCAGGCCCCACCTGCTTGTGGGAAGGTCAGCATGCCTTCCCCATCCCTCCCCCACGACTGCCACCCCCACCCTGCCCTTCACCTCCCCTGGTGACCTTGAACCGTCTGTGCCAATACTAGGCTATTACTCCTCTCGTCCCCAGTGCAACAGGTTCTGACAAAGGAGGTGGGTCTGAGAATTTCTTTAGCAGATGGACAGAGGCATGCCTAGCATGCGGCCACCTGGCCGCTTGTGATGGGTGGTAGGGATGGAACAGAGATTACACATTGTCAGTGCTTTCTGGTTGCTGGGCATGTGCCGGGCACTTTACTTATAGTAACTGTTTAATCCTCACACCCACCCTTCCTGGCAGATCTGATGTTCTTTTCCTCATTTCCAGGGCACCGGAAGGTTGAATAACTCGCCAGGGTCAGCTAGTAAGCAGTAGAAACAGGATTCAAACTCGGGTCAACAGGCTCTGGTGTCCATGCTTTGAACCACTATTTATTTTCTTTTACATTTTTTGGGATGGCGTTTCACTCTGTGGCCCAGGCTGGAGTGCAATGGCTTGATCTTGGCTCACTGCAGCCTCTGCCTCCCAGGTTGAAGCCTCCTGAGTATCTGGGATTACAGGCACATACCACCATACCCAGCTAATTTTTGTATTTTTGTAGAGATGGGGTTTTGCCATGTTGACCAGGCTGGTCTTGAACTCCTGACCTCAGGTGATCCACCTGCCTCCCAAAGTGCTGGGATTGCAGGTGTACCTGGCCTATTTTATTATTTTATTTTATTTTTTGAGGTAGAATCTCACTCTGTGACCCAGGCTGGAGTGCAATGGCTTGATCTCAGCTCACTGTAGCCTCCGCCTCCCAGGTACAAGCAATTCTCCTGCCTCGGCTTCCCAAGTAGCTGGGATTACAGGTGCCCACCACCACACCTGGCTAATTTTTTCTGTTTTTAGTAGAGATGGGGTTTTGCCATGTTGGCCAAGATGGTCTTGAACTCCTGACCTCAAGTGATCTGCCTGCCTTGGCCTGTCAAAGTGCTGGGATTCCAGGTGTGAGCAACTGCACCCTGCCACCATCAATTTTAGAACATTTTCATCATTTTCATCCCAAAAAGAAAATCTGTACCTGTTCACAGTCATTCTTCGTGTCCCCTCTAGCACGCTGGCTCCAGACAACCACCAGTCTGCTTCCTTTCTCTCTCTCTCTTTTTCTTTTCTTCTTTCTTTTCCTTTTTCTCTTTTTCTTTCATGTTGAGACAGATTTTAGCTCTTGTTGCCCAGGCTGGAGTGCAGTGGCTCAGTCCCAGCTCACTACAACCTCCACCTCCTGGGTTCAAGCAATTCTCCTGCCTTAGCCTCCCAAGTAGCTGGGACTACAGGCATGCACTACCATGTCTGGCTAATTTTTTGTATTTAGTAGAGACAGGGTTTCACCATGTTGGTCAGTCTGGTCTCGAACTCCTGACCTCAGGTGATCCACCCACCTCAGCCTCCCAAAGTTCTGGGATTACAGGCGTGAGCCACCATGGCTGACCTATTTATATATGTATATTTTTTGAGATGGAAATTTGCCCTTGTTACCTAGGCTGGAATGCAGTGGTGCAATCTCGGCTGACTGCAACCTCTACCTCCTGGGTTTAAGCGATTCTCCAGCCTCAGCCTCCGGAGTAGCTGGGATTACAGGTGCCTACCACCACGCCAAGCTAATTTTTTTTTTTTTAATATTAAAAAAAGACGGGGTTTCAACATGTTGGTCACACTGGTCTTGAACTCCTGACCTCAGGTGATCTGCCCACCTTGGCCTCCAAAGTGCTTGGATTACAGGCGTGAGCCACCACGCCCAGCCACCAAGCTAATTTTTATATTTTTAGTAGAGATGGGATTTCACCATGTTGGCCAGGCTGGTCTCAAACCTCTGACCTCAAGTGATCCACCCATCTTGGCCTCCCAAAGTGCTGGGATTACAGGCGTGAGCCACTGTGCCTGGCCCGGCTTCCTATCTCTGTGGATTTGCTGATATTGGACATTTTCTAAAACTGATCATATAACATTTGACCTTTTGTGTCTGGCTTCTTTCCATAATGTTTTCAGGGTTCACCTATGTTGTAGCATATGTCAGACTTTCATTCCTTTTCATGGCCAAATAATATTCCACTGTATGGAAGTGCTGTTTCTGCATCTTGGCTACTAGGAATAATGCTATGAGGAGCATTCACCTGCACACGTTTTCATGTGGACATGTGTGGTCATACCTCTTGAGCTGATCCAAGGACTGGAATTGCGAGGTCCTATGGTAACTCTGTGTTAATGTTTTGCAAAACTGCCAGTGTTTTCCAAAATGTCTCCACCATTTCCCATTCCCACCAGCAGTGTGGGAGAGTTCCTGTTTCTTCCTCTCCTTGTCAGCACTTGTTATTGTCTGTTTCTTTGACTACAGTCACCCACAAAATAACTTTAATAGACTGATTTTATTTATTCTCACATTCACCTAGTGAGCCTTTGTTTTGGTTCCCCTACTGAGAGAAACTGAGGCTCAGGGTGGTCAGGTCAGTGGTTGAAGACCCTGTGGAGAGAGACCTGGATCAGATACCTAAGGGGCAGGAGGACCCTGTCCGCCTCGGCATCCCCAGGATTTTCGAGCCCTCTGGCTCCCTTGGAGAGAGGTTTGTCCCAACTGTCCAGAGATCAAGGATGTGCCCCCAGAGGTTGAGAATGTTAGGACCCCCATATCCTGGGGCTGCTCTGTCCTCTCTGAAGAGAGCTCCAAGACATGGCACCAGCTTTATGGTTGTCCTTGGGGCAGTTCTAAGTGGGCCAGGTCCTCACAGCATAAACGCAGGCATCTGCCCCAAAGAAGGGTGCCTTCTGTTTCTTGCAAAAGTGCCATATGGGACTCGTGGTGGCCTTGCCAGCCCACTTGCCTGATTCCCAGTTCTCACAAGGAAGGAGAAGGCCCAAAGTCCTGGCAAGCCAAGCTGCCTTTTAGGGTCAGGGTGGGTGAGGCCGCTGCCCTGGGCAGGCAGTGACCCCGCACTGTCCCCTCGCCTTGGCAGGAGCTGGAGCTGGTGGAGGATGTGTGGCGAGGGGAGGCTCAGGACCTCCTCTCCCAGATCGCCCAGCTGCAGGAGGAGAACAAGCAGCTTATGACCAACCTCTCCCACAAGGACGTCAACTTCTCGGAGGAGGAGTTCCAGAAGCACGAAGGTAAGTGGGGGCCGGCGCCAATGCGAGGGGCCAGCCGTTCCTTTTCTCATCACCCACATCAGTGATTGTCGCCACTGCCCCTGGACATTGATACGGTGCTGGCTGGTGCCCAAGGCCCTTTGCCTCCTGTGTCATGTTGATTTGCCCCGTAGCCCTGCCAGAGAAGCATCGTGTAGTCTCAGTTTACAGATGGTGACACAGAGATCCTTTCAGCAAACTGTCACAGCTTCCCCTCTGTTTGTGAGGTTCCTCTCTTGGCCCTGGGATACGTGTTAAACATGACAGAGACCCTGCCCTTGGGAAGCTTGTGTGCTTTGCAGAGGAGAAAAGGCGTTAAATGTAAACACACAGATGCCATAGGTCCAGGGGCAGCCATGCTCCGGGAGAGCTGCAGTCAGTGGGGCATGTGATAGACTGACTTGGTAAGGGCGTCTTCAGATACAGTCATCAGGGAAGGCCTCCGACGAGGTCATGTTTGAGCCCTAATGGAGTAGCAGAGTGAGCCACTCACCTATCTGCGTTGTTGAGTGGGGAGGTTGGAGGGGGCAGTCATGCGGAAGTCCTGGGGACATGAGCATTCGAGGGAAACCAAGAAGGCCAGTGTAGGCGGGGTGTGGTGGCTCACACCTGTGATCCCAGCACTTTGGGAGGCTGAAGCAGGAGGATTACTTGGGAGTTTGAGACTAGCCTGGGCAACATAGTGAAACCTCATCTCTACTAAAATGTTTTTTAAAAAGTAACCAGGTCTGGCCAGGCTCAGTGGCTCACCCCTGTAATCCCAGCACTTTGGGAGGCCGAGGTGGGCACATCCCAGGCTCAGGAGTTTGAGACCAGCCTGGCCAACATGGTGAAACCCCATCTCCACTAAAAATACAAAACAAATTAGTCAGGCATAGTGGTGGGCGTCTGTAATCCAAGCTACTTGGGAGGCTGAGGCAGGAGAATCACTTGGATCTGGGAGGTGGAGGTTGCAGTGAGCAGCCGAGATCACGCCATTGCACTCCAGCCTGGGTGACAGAGCAAGACTCCGTCTCAAAAACAATTAGCCAGGTCCAGTAGTGCACACCTGTAGTCTAAGCCACTTAGAAGGCTGAGGCGGGAGACTATCTTGAGCCCAGGAGGTCGAGGCTGCAGTGAGCTGAGATCATACCACTGCACTCCAGCCTGACGACAGTGAGACCATGTCAAAAAAATTAATAAAAAATAAAGAAGGCTAATGTATCAGAAGATGATTGAGTGGTTGGAGATGAGGTCACAGGGGTCAGGTCACGTAGCTCCTTAGAGGCCAAGGTTTGGATTTTATTCTAAGCCTGTGGTGGGAAGAGATTGGAGGCTCTTGTCACAGGCACACACTTACCAGTGAGTAACCTGGGATGGTATCCCAGACCTGAATGGCGCTGGAGCCCCTGAACTGTCACTCATCTGATAAGCTTCTCCGGTGCTGGGAAAAGGACAGACAGGCTGCAAGATTCGGGCCAGGCAGGGCTGTGGGCGGCATCTGCTCTGCTCACTAAAGCAGGGTACCTCCTGCTGCTCACTCATCCCAAGGAATCTCAGGGTCATCGCTTCCGTCTCAGAAACTCCTTGGTTCACCACATGAGCCTCCTCCTCATGTTTGATGGGATGGGGATGGACCTGGGGTGGGTGCTGAACTTCAGAACGTGTGGTTACCACTCTGCAGGATCAAGTATGGCACTGAAGGCCGGGCGCAGTGGCTCACGCCTGTAATCCCAGCACTTTGGGAGGCCGAGGCAGGTGGATCATTTGAGGTCAGGAGTTTGAGACCAGTCTGGCCAACATGGTGAAACCCCGTCTCTACTAAAAATACAAAAATTAGGCTGGGCGCAGTGGCTCATGCCCGTAATCCCAGCACTTTTGGGAGGCGGAGGCAGGTGAGTCATGAGGTCAAGAGATCGAGACCATCCTGTCCCACGTGGTGAAACCCCATCTCTACTAAAAATACAAAAATTAGCTGGGTGTGGTGGCGGGTGCCTGTAGTCCCAGCTCCTCAGGAGGCTAAAGCAGGAGAATCACTTGAACCCAGGAGGCGGAGGTTGCAGTGAGCTGAGATTGCACGACTGCACACCAGCCTGGGTGACAGTGAGATTATGTCTCAAAAAAACAAAAAATTAGCCTATTGTGGTGGCACACACCTGTTCTTAGTGATTTGGGAGGCTGAGGCACGAGATTCAATTGAACTCGGGAGGTGGAGGTTGCAGTAAGCTGAGATTGCATAACTGCATTGCAGCCTGGGTGATAGAGCAGGACTCCTGGTTGTGTGCACTGTCTCTGGAGCCAGGCAGCCCAGGTTTGAGTCCTGAACCTGAAACCTCCCTGCTATGTGACTTTGATCAAGTCATATGACCCTCATGTGCCTCAGTTGCTCCCCATGTAAAAATGGGGGAAATGGCCATACCTTCCTCATAAACTTGTCATGAGGGTAAAATCAGTGAATCTGTATAGACCGCTTAGCATCTTACCTGGTACATAGAAAATGCTCAGCAAGTATTAGCTAATATTACTATGGGTTATCATGATCCAGTTCAATATACTTATTCAATAGATGAGAAAAGTGTAGACAGAGAGGGAGAGTGATTTGCCCGAGGTCACACAGCAAGTTAGTGGCAGAGTCAGAAGTGGGACCCAGATCGGCTGAAATCAGCTCCCTGAAGGAAGGCTTATGTCTCTCTCGGACCCCTTGACCCAGGGCTGCAGGAGACCATGTGGGTGAGGCTGGGAGGAGACTGAAACTGTGCCCACCATGGATTGGGCTGCTGTGGCGTTCCACCGCCCGGGAGCTTACAACAGACAGAGGGCTGCCATGCGTTCATTTGGTCACCCTTTGTCTCTGTTATCTCTGATGGAGTGCCTGCTCTGGGCTTTGCCAGGTTGAAGGCTGGGCAGGGAGGCACAGGCTGGGGCCTGGATCTTCCTGCTGCGGTGACTTGGACATTAGAAAGTTTTCTAGCAGCAAAGTCAGCCTGGGCCTGGAGGACTCTGAAATCCTGTCCCAATTTCCTTCAGAAGCCCAAGAAAGAGGACTTTTTTTTTTTTTTTTTTTGAGATGGAGTCTCACTCTGTCACCCAGGCTGGATTGCAGTGGTGCAATCTCGGCTCACTGCAACCTCTGCCTCCCAGGTTCACATAATCCTCTCACCTCAGCCTCTTAAGTAGCTGGGACTACAAGCACATGCCACCACGTCCAGCCAATATTTATATTTTTAATAGAGACGAGATTTTACCATGTCGGCCAGGCTAGCCTTGAAGTTCTGACCTCAGGTGATCTGCCAACCTTGGCCTCCCAAAGTGCTGAGATTACAGGCGTGAGCCACTGCACCCAGCCATGTTTGTTTTTTGAGAAAAAAGTCTACTAAAAATATAAAAATTAGCCAGGCGTGGTGGTGCATGCCTGTAATCCCAACTACTCGGGAGGCTGAGGCGGGAGAATCGCTTGAACCCAGGAGGCGGAGGTTGCGGTGAGCCAAGGTGGCACCACTGCACTCCAGCCTGGGTGACAGAGCAAGACTCTGTCTCTAAATAAATAAATAAAGTGTGCAATTCAGCCAGGTGCGGTGGATCATGCCTATAATCTCAGAACTTTGGGACGCTGAGGCAGGAGGATCTTTTGAGCTCAGGAGTTTGAGATCAGCCTGGGCAACATAGTGAGACCTTGTTTCTTTAAAACAAAAAAAGAAAGAAAAAATATTTAAATGTACAATTCAGTGATTTTTAGTGTATTCACAGATTTATGCAGCCATCACCACAATTTCAGAACATTTTTTTTTTACCTCCAACAGAAACACCATACTCCAATCCCATCCCATCCCCACCCCTAGCGGTAAGCACCCACTCATCTGCTTTCTGTCTGTGTTTGCCTATGGGGACATTTCATATAATGGAGTCATACGCTGTGTGGTCTTTGTGACTGGCTTCTTTCATTTGGCATCATGTTTTCAGGGTTCATCCACATTGTCATTGTAGTGTATGTCAGGCTTCATTCCTTTTTTATTTTCCTCTGTGGCCCAGGCTGGAGTGCAGTGGCACAATCTCAGCTCACTGCAGCCTCTGCTTCCCAGGTTCAACTGATCCTCTCACCTCAGCCTCCTGAGTAGCTGGGACCACAGGTGTGCCCCACCATGCCCGGCTAATTTTTGTGTTTTTTTGTTTTTTGTTTTTTTTTTTTTTTTTTTGAGACGGAGTTTCGCTCTTGTTACCCAGGCTGGAGTGCAATGGCGCGGTCTCGGCTCACCGCAACCTCCGCCTCCTGGGTTCAGGCAATTCTCCTGCCCCAGCCTCCTGAGTCGCTGGGATTACAGGCACGCACCACCATGCCCAGCTAATTTTTTGTAGTTTTAGTAGAGACGGGGTTTCACCATGTTGACCAGGATGGTCTCGATCTCTTGACCTCGTGATCCACCCGCCTCGGCCTCCCACAGTGCTGGGATTATTTTTGTGTTTTTATTAGAGACGGGGTTTCGTCATCTTGGCCAGGCTGGTCTTGAACTCCCAACCTCAAGTGATCGCCCACCTTGGCCTCCCAAAATGCCGGGATTGTAGGCATGAGCCACTGCACCTGGCCTTTCCTTTTCATGTCTGAATCATATTCCGTTCTATGGCTATACCGCATTTTGTTTGCCCACTCACCTGTGGATGGACTTGTGACACGTCACCACCTTTTGGCTGTTGTGAATCGTGCTGCTGTGAACATTGTGTTCAAGCTTTGGTGTGGACCTATGTTTTCAGTTCTGTGGGCTGTATACCTAGGAGTGGAATTGCTGGGCCATAGGGGAACTATGTTAAACTTCCAACACTTCTGCAGGGCGTCCAGAGGCCTCAGTGACCCACGGGCGCTGGACCTCAGGGCTCCGAGCCGCTTCGTACACATCGGTGCACGCATGCTCATAGTGCCCTCCATGTGGGGAGCTTTGCTTTGCTTCCACAGCCTTCCAGATCCCTGCTGGGCTTGTCATGAATCAGCCCACACGTGAGCGATCTGAGAC